GAATGTTAATAATAATAATAATAATAATAATAGTAGCAGCATAAGCAGCAGCAGCAGTAGTAGTAGTAGTATAATGTTGAATTAAGAATAGACATCACAGCACACAAGACACCCCCATCAGCGCTCCGTCCCCATCTTCAGCAGCAAGCGAAGAGTTACAATTCCGATGGTACCAGTAACTGTCTGATTGAATATCCGTCTCGCCTTTTCCCCGAGTGTCAAACGTCGGCCAGATGATTCCCTTGTAACTCCTTGCAGTGCCATTCTCCTCAGACAGTAGTGATCTATCTTTTTCTCGGCACTGTCTACACGCTCTCACAGGGCGCTCACAACATCCAGCTTGTCATACATCAGTTCACCACCAAGCGGTGTAGAACCAGCCAGTCTATCTGCCAGCTCATTTCCTAACACACCGGCATAACCTGGAGAAAATATCTAAATGATGCTAATTACCCAGGACCTCTAAAGCGATGCTTGCCACTCTGCACGGAGCATGCCTGTCTCCGCCTTTCTCAACATGCTCTGTGAGTCAGTTACAATGACATATGTGTACACCTGATTCTCAAGCCAGTGGAAGGCGGCACTGCCTGCCTCCACCTCCATTCTAAAACTAGCTGTTGTGATATCATATACCAGGCTTTATTGCATCAAGCGACATCCACTCACTTTTGCTATGAACCCCTAAGCACTCCATCTGCCCCTAACCACAGAGCCATCTGTATATACAATCACATCACTTGGACGGAAATTGTCACGAATCATTTGTTGAACTTCTGATTCTGCAGCTGGCCAGTCCCTGCATTCAAGTCCTAAAGTAACCCTAGACAAGTGTGAAACATGATCAGACACTTTGACCCACTCCTCTTCTCACCTAAATTTATCAAGCCTGCACACATGTTCAATTGTGTCTTCAGCTTTCGCCATCCAAGACTTTCCTCTTTTCAGTCTGTGACCCTTAGTTCTATCCAGGGCTTTCTGCAGGAGGTGCGTCTTGTCCGCAGCTACTCTGAGTTATAACTTTGCTTGCAGAACTTTGATCCTATCTGCAATAGTAGGCAAGGCAAGTATTTATCGCATACATACTACCAGGGTATCTCTTGTACATCCCAGAATTACCCGCATGGCTTCATTCTGTATGCGTTCAAGTTTCATCAGCTGACTCTTTGATATGGTAAGTATTCCAAGTCCATAATCTGTCACCGACAGGATCACATGCTGGAACATTGTGAACAACATTATTTGTTCCATGTCCATTGCTGCCATAATCTTGAGAGCATTGAGTCCTTTTTGGCATTTCACTGCAACTGCATCCACATGATCCCTAAGGACAGGCTTCTATCAAGAATGATACACAGGTACCTCAGTTTGCTTTCTCTTTTGATGTTACTGTTACTAACAAACCACGAATAAACCCCCTTCTCCATGAGTGCAGAAATAAAAATATTATATTTAATGCTGGTGTCACGTGTCCTTATTAAACCAAAAGGACACTCTGAAGTTGTTTATGTGTTGAGATGTTGGCTCACACTGGTTTATGCAGCTCCAAAGAACATCCAACCTACCTCAGAGGCAAGGTGACTTAAATTATGGCCCTACAGAATCAATAAATATTCCTGGGCGCAACCTAAACTGATTTTCCCACTACATTTTAGCCCCCAGACTAAAAAGTAATCCTACGCTAGACAAATTAATGCAGTATAACATGAATTATAACAATATAATGGGTACTCGAGACAACTTAAGAACTGTGAAGGATGGGCCCTAACTACAGAATGTAAAATATGAAAACATCATGTAATCAGTGCAACACAAGAAAGATTGTAAAGAAATGAATTCAGCAAGACAAAGTAAACCAGCTAGGGAAGCAAAGAATACTCTACTCCAGATGGACACCTGGTTTGTCCCTAGCAGCAGCAAGTATCATCATTGCCAGACTGTGGAGTTTTGGACCCAAGTAACTGGCACTTGGTGTTAAGAGAGCTGTAATTGCTAATGACCATAACTTATCTGTCCAGGATGTCCTGTTCATCTGAAGTGCTGGTTCTTGCAACAGGTACACATTTTTGTGAATTCAATAACAAACACAATGTTTCCCAGTCACTGGAGTCTGACACAAGACTTGAATACTTGTATGTGAAGTACTATAGTGTTTATAGTTTGGGACAATATATTGAAAGAGAAGGTTCCTTGTTAATGTTTCAATGTTCTATGTTAGACTATGTCACCCTCTGGTTGCGGTAGTTGTTTGCAGCATGACCACATAAAAAGCTCCTGGGTTGAGAGAAAAAAAGCTGATGTTGATTATCAAAGAACAGCAGACAGTTGTCGTCTCATGGAGCCACTGAAATTGGTGCCTGGACCTGAGTGAAGTGTTCACTAATGATCTCTTATATTGTAGGCTGTCTGCTGGTTACACCTAATGTGTGTTAGGATACTGAAAGTTTACCTGGCATTCGGATATTAGTAACATCCCATGCTCATGGACAATCCTGGTTGAATCAGTGATTCAAACGAAGGTAAGCAAATAGATATAAGGCAGCAAGCCATCTGCTCAGTCTGGAAGCTCCTTCAAAAATGAGTCCCAAATCTAAGCATCTCTCCAGCTAGAGGCGGGAGGGGATTTATCCGCGTCCAAAGCGGTAGTTAGGCCAATGGAATTTGGCTTCACTATAAGTAAAATTCTCACCTATATGGCTGAATTTAAATATATGTCATTCCCAAGAGAATTAGGAAGAACTGAGCACTTAATCTGACATCCTGACATTTAAGTACAAAAGAAGGACTATTTACCCATGGAGGGAAGTCCAAGATTTGAATTCCTCTCATTTACATACAAGATGTGGGCAGGTTTAAGACCAGAGGGGTGTGGGCTGTCATAAGACGGAAAAAAAATTCTGTTTTTATTTTTCTCACAAAGCAAGTAATTTATTATTTCCTGGCATGCAAGAAATGCACTCTTATCATAAATATTATAAAGAAGTAATTGAAAAAAACAAACACAAAAAACCATCCTTATATTGTTCATGGTGACTGCACTAGCCATGCAGGTCTAAACTCTCAAGTTCAATTCAAAACCCTCTGTCATACACAACCCTAAACTGTAGTCAATAGTCAGTAAAGACTGCAGACCATAATTTGACAAACGGTAATAATCTGATAAGCAAAGAATGAAATGGTTTGGTCACCTAATGAGAATGGAACCAACGATGCCAGCATCAAGAGCATACAACATGAAAATCGAAACACCAAGAGGCAGGGGAAGACCAAGAAGAAGATGGATTGAAGGAGTCACGGACAACTTTAGACTTCATAACATCACGGAATATGAAGCGACTGAGCGCGCCCTGGCTCGGTTGCCGATCATCTGAAAGACTGCGACGCCTAGCGGCACAAGCAGATTTTGACAAAAGAAGAAGAAGAATAATCTGATGATGATCCCTTGGGCGTCTGATGCTAAATCCCCTGGAACCCAAAGAGTCTTTTCTGCTAATGTTGACACCTTTCTGTTTGTCCAGATGATAGTGTTATACTGAGCTTTCTGTTTGTCCAGATGATAGTGTTATACTCAGCTTTCTGTTTGTCCAGAAGATAGTGTTATACTGAGCTTTCTGTTTGTCCAGATGATAGTGTTATACTGAGCTTTCTGTTTGTCCAGAAGATAGTGTTATACTGAGCTTTCTGTTTGTCCAGATGATAGTGTTATACTGAGCTTTCTGTTTGTCCAGATGATAGTGTTATACTGAGCTTTCTGTTTGTCCAGAAGATAGTGTTGTACTGAGCTTTCTGTTTGTCCAGATGATAGTGTTATACTGAGCTTTCTGTTTGTCCAGAAGATAGTGTTATACTGAGCTTTCTGTTTGTCCAGATGATAGTGTTATACTGAGCTTTCTGTTTGTCCAGAAGATAGTGTTATACTGAGCTTTCTGTTTTTCCAGAAGATAGTGTTATACTGAGCTTTCTGTTTTTCCAGATGATAGTGTTATACTGAGCTTAGAGAAGGCATGGGGCTCCCAGCCCATGGCAATGGTGTGTTCCACTAGAAAGACCTGCCAGTGTCTTCCACAATCAGAGCATTGAACCGCTGTTGCCATCACATGTACTTTTCTGCTTCTTCTCAGATGCTCAGCTCTCACCCTTTCTGCAAGCATTCTTCCTTCATTGGCCCCCTCCATACAACATGATCCATGGCATTTTGTTCCCACAAACCTACCTCAATACCTGTATTATTCATGTTTCGATGGTACACATCCTTATATCATAGAAGAGCCTGGTCTCAACATGTTCTAACCATCTGTAATTCCCCATAGAACATGTCTTTAGAGACTACCATCCTCCATCCTCCAGATGTGACCCTGCTATCTGACCATAGAACACGTCTTTAGAGACTACCATCCTCCATCCTCCAGATGTGACCCTGCTATCTGACCATAGAACATGTCTTTAGAGACTACCATCCTACATCCTCCAGATGTGACCCTGCTATCTGACCATAGAACATGTCTTTAGAGACTACCATCCTCCATCCTCCAGATGTGACCCTGCTATCTGAGACTTCATAGACTGAGCATTGAGTAAACTGCTGTAGTGACAGTTCTTTGCAAGGCTTCAGTGTTTGTGATCATGACATGCCACTGAAAATTAAATGTTGGTCTTAGACATGGCATGTCAAAGCTATTTAGTTCTTTCTCCTAATGCCAATACATTGACAGTTTTACTGCCATAAAGAAGGCAGCCGAGAAAACAAGCCTTGTAGACAAGAAGTTTATTTTTTATTCATCCTATGTCAATGAAATAAAAAAGCAAAACATGATACAGTTCTCACATCAGAGTAAATGAAAATGAGTAAATTTAAAAAAATACTAACACTGAATGAATGAACGGTAAGTTCAGAACCGATAAGTGGGTACAAATGTACAAAACCAAATATTCTGCTATGTGAGACAACAGTATTCATATCAACGGATGAGTTTATGAAAACATTCAAGTGAAATCATACCAAATTATTTCATACCACACAAATGAATGTTAAACTTGTGAAGAAATTCTTGCAAATTAAAAACTTCACCATGTCTAATAGTCTTGTCCATGGATATAAATTCCTGGATGTTGTTGTTGGTGTCTGAAACATCAGAGAAATGTCTCTTAAACCAGGTTTTTATAATAAGAACTCTCAAGAAGGACATTAAAAGTACCTGCCAATAAGAGAAATGAGTATGCACTTTATAAAACACAGAACACATGGATTTCAATATGTTAGTTGATAGAGGCAGTGAATTCACATTTGCAATTAATTATTGCTCATTTGAAGATAATCTTGATTGCCCATCACACATGACCAAAAGTACTTGTGAGTTTGCTTCTAAGACATAATGAATTCAATTATTTGGACATATATTGATTTCAAAGGTTTAAAGAATATACATTCTTCTTTTCCTCTATCAGATACCGCAGTGTTAGGGGGATTATATAAGGACCATATACATGATGTTAAGCAATTGGTAAGTTAGTCTCCTAGGTGCTTGATGCTGTCATTCCATTACTTGTATGGTCTTCCCCTTGTTCTGTACTCAATTTATTAAAAGATTGTATGATTCTAGAGGCCTCAGAGATGTGGTTTTACAGAAGAATGCTTAGAATACCTTGGACAGCCAAAAAGAGCAACCAAGAGGTTTTGAAAGAGGTGGGAGCCCGAAGACAACTTATCACAGACATCAGAAGGAGACAGTCATCATTTTTCAGCCATGTTATGAGAAGAGGGAAAATAGAACATGTTGTGACCACTGGAAAGATCTGTGGGAGGAGAGATAGAGGAAGACAACGAGAAAAGATGCTTGACAGTCTTGTTGCATGGCATGGAGGTGTGTCGGCACAGGAACTGATACATGCTGCAGGAGATCGCAGATTATGGAGAGGCATGATCGCCCACGCCAGTCGGCACGGCACCTGATGATGATGATAATGATGATGATGACCACAAACATGTAAGTGGTGATGCCCAATCATCTTCTTTCTGATTACTTCAGCTATGGGTTGCCGTGGTAACACAGTGGAAGTCTGCCAAACTTAGCATTTTAGTTGGGAGTAGGTCTGCTGAATGGTGCCCATCTGTTCTCCAAGTATTCTAAGATACAAATGATTGTATTCTGGGAAGTTTGGTTTTTACTGCACCAGACATTCACCATTTCCTTCTTCTGCTGGTTGAAACCTTTCAGCAGTCCATATCATAAACACCCTCTAGCATAGAGGAAATATTTTAATTGATAGTTTTAGTCTTCTGTATTTATTTAAAATTCACTACCAACTCCACAATGCCTACACAATATGAAAATACCCAGTATCTCAGAGTACGGGTTCTTTCCACACAAAAAGTGGTGTCTCAGCAAGAAACAAGGTTGAGACCTCAAATACGACAACAACAAACATCAACATCAGACAATTTAGCACTTACTGCAGAAAATACACCATTTACTGCACAAAAAACAACATTTACTGCAAAGAAAACAACCTTTACTGCAAAGAAAAACAACATTTACTGCAAAGAAAAACAACATTTACTGAACAGGAAACAACATTTCCTGCAAAGAAAAACATCATTTACTGCAAAGAAAAACAACATTTACTGAACAGGAAACAACATTTACTGCAAAGAAAAACATCATTTACTGAACAGGAAACAACATTTATTGCAAAGAAAAACATCATTTACTGAACATGAAAACAACATTTCCTGCAAAGAAAAACATCATTTACTGCAAAGAAAAACAACATTTACTGAACAGGAAACAACATTTACTGCACAGAAAACAACATTTACTGCAAAGAAAAACAACATTTACTGAACATGAAAAAAACTTTTACTGCAAAGAAAAACATCATTTACTGCAAAGAAAAACAACATTTACTGAACAGGAAACAACATTTCCTGCAAAGAAAAACATCATTTACTGCAAAGAAAAACAACATTTACTGAACAGGAAACAACATTTACTGCACAGAAAACAACATTTACTGCAAAGAAAAACAACATTTACTGAACAGGAAACAACATTTATTGCAAAGAAAAACAACATTTACTGCAAAGAAAAACAACATTTACTGAACAGGAAACAACATTTATTGCAAAGAAAAACAACATTTACTGCAAAGAAAAACAACATTTACTGAACAGGAAACAACATTTACTGCAAAGAAAAACAACATTTACTGAACAGGAAACAACATTTACTGAACAGGGAAACAACTATAGCTAATCAATATCCAGCCAGTGTTGACTTGATTTTGTTTGACTTACTAGGACACTTTATTGGGGGATACTCAGGAGGTGGGGCTAACCACTGGTTCCTGTCATCCAGCATGTGTGATCGATCTGATGCAAATGTGTGCAGAAATTCACTGGCAGAGATCACTCTCAACAGCCTAAATCAGAAAGTCAAAGAGAAATACAATTTTTTAAAACTCCTAAAAATAATTTTGATATGCTGGCATGGTAAAGTTTTAATAAAAAAGATAAAATAAATAAGAAAAGCAAAAAATTGGACATAAGATTGCTCTGTTACATAATCAGACCATTCCAAACTTGGGAAAGCCTACAAAAAGTGACCACAAGACCTCTTATACCCAGCCCACCTGTAACAATGATGTCGATAAGTGATTTAGAGCAATAATATATCCTTTTCTTCTTCTTCTTCTTCTTCGCGTTCACCAGCTGTACACTCTGGCGGAAAGTTCTGGTTGTTCGTCCACACCTGGTCTGCAGTCCTGCTCCAGAACCTGAGTGTTGCGTGTGCATCAGTTGTACAGGTCTGATTCACTTGAATGCAGACTGTTGGTTCCTTGCCTCTCAGGCAGATGCACTCCGACTTCAAAGGAAGCTACCAATTAGTCAACTCTTACACACAATGGGGCCCTGGATCCCACACGGGTTTATATCCTTTTAAATACAAGTTCAACAGTGAGGAGAGCATGAGAGTGAGGAGAGCATGAGAGTGAGGAGAGCATGAGAGTGAGGAGAGCATGAGAGTGAGGAGAGCATGAGAGTGAGGAGAGCATGAGAGTGAGGAGAGCATGAGAGTGAGGAGAGCATGAGAGTGAGGAGAGCATGAGAGTGAGGAGAGCATGAGAGTGAGGAGAGCATGAGAGTGAGGAGAGCATGAGAGTGAGGAGAGCATGAGAGTGAGGAGAGCATGAGAGTGAGGAGAGCATGAGAGTGAGGAGAGCATGAGAGTGAGGAGAGCATGAGAGTGAGGAGGAGCATGAGAGTGAGGAGAGCATGAGAGTGAGGAGAGCATGAGAGTGAGGAGAGCATGAGAGTGAGGAGAGCATGAGAGTGAGGAGAGCATGAGAGTGAGGAGAGCATGAGAGTGAGGAGAGCATGAGAGTGAGGAGAGCATGAGAGTGAGGAGAGCATGAGAGTGAGGAGAGCATGAGAGTGAGGAGAGCATGAGAGTGAGGAGAGCATGAGAGTGAGGAGAGCATGAGAGTGAGGAGAGCATGAGAGTGAGGAGAGCATGAGAGTGAGCAGAAGATTCCAGAAAACAAGGAACTGGAAGCTGGGGTCAAATAATGCACCAGTAACTCCAGATGATTGACAGGGTGAGGCTTTCAGAGAGATCTTCATGGAGTTGTTTAAGGTGAAGAGAAGAGAGTTGGCCGGCAAATTACCGTACAGGACATACTCATTTCCACCTCCACCCAAAACCCTTTTTTTCCCCAACCTAACCAGTAAATCAATAGAGAAATGTCAGGAAAAAATGTAAAGAAAAAGTCTTTAACATTTCAGCTGAGGGTTATTTTTAAAATGGATATATTTAATGATGTTGGTGAATTTGAGAAAAACTGAAATGTTAATCCAAATGTTCTCATTCCTCAGAAATCACACATGTACACAGGGTCCCCTATACCCTATGCGTTGTTCTTCTTCCCCCCCCCCCCCCCCAACTTGAAATGATTCTATGCTTCAACTAAGTTGGTATACTTTGTGACCAGAATTTGTACACTCGTATCTATGTTTAAACATGTTTTCTAGCAGCTGATCTCACATTTTAACCCTGTAAAGACTATGCGGCCGAAAAATGGGCATAACACAAAGTAACCAAAAGGACAACTGGGCAAATCGATAGGCCCTATATAATAGAAGCCTTGATATTGGCTGGTAGATTTTCACATTTATTGCACATGTGGGCTGTTGTTCATTGACAGCTTTTGGGAAAGTTTGATGTGTTCTGTAATTTTACATAGATGCCCCCTTTTCCCAAGATGCCCCTTCCTCCCCCTGCCCATACCCCAAACTGTCATCCCCCATGGTGATGGCACACATAAAAAAACTCATATGCACAAAGAGCATTGCAGCACAGTGGTTCACACAGAGAACATTGCGGCACAGTGGTTCACACAGAGAACATTGCAGCACAGTGGTTCACACAGAGAACATTGCAGCACAGTGGTTCACACAGAGAACATTGCAGCACAGTGGTTCACACAGAGAACATTGCAGCACAGTGGTTCACACAGACAGTTGCACAGCAGTTTGTGAAAAGAAATGTGCATGCCATAACACCCCTAGCTTAGGCGTTGCGAGTCCGACTTGTAATCCATTGTACCGCGATCAAAACCCACTGCTGGCTGCGTGGATTTTCATCATAGTATAGGGCGTCGCAGGTCGACCCAGCCTAAAATGGTTATCAGGATGGCTGTCCTGGAAAAGTAAAGACGGCCGGCATAATGCTGACCACATTACCCACCTAGTGCCGATTGGTAAAAATATAGGACGCTCTTCCCGTATGCCGGATGCACCAAAGGCGTGAAAAGGGATCTTTACTTTTACTTTACTTTAAAACAACCCTAGAATAGCGAGCTAGGCTGGGGATTCTGGGATTCCCTTTGTCTGGTAAGACATAAAATGTTTGTACGGACAATTGCAAAAAATTTTTTTTTAGATCTGGCAACTACACATATGTGGTTTTAAAGAAAAATGATGAGAATAACACAGATGGATAGATGCTGAAAGTGGGGAACACAGAAACTGCTGTGCAAGATTTTTCAAGAAATTTTGAACAAGGAAGAAATTCCACAAGAGTGGAAAAATAGTACCATCATCAAATTACCAAAGAAAGGAGATTTAGGAAACTGAAATAACTGGACACCAATATCAGTAACAAGTACAGTCTTCAGCCAGATTATTCTTTAGAGAATGCCCCAAGCATTCAACAGTAAAATTAGGTAACAGCAGGCAGGTTTTAGAAAGGAGAAATCATGTTCTCTTGATTGGATGTACCAACATTCCATGAGAAGGGAAACAGTGGGCTACATGGTGTGGATGTACCAACATTCCATGAGAAGGGAAACAGTGGGCTACATGGTGTCAATGTAGAGGTTAACAGGAAAGAATGACAGGGGGAGACCATCAGAAGATGCTAAACAGTTTGGTTCAGAACATTGCTTTCTGACAAGTCTGTTCATTCATGGGACAGAAGGATGTGGACACATGATGACCAACATCACATGCTCGGATATAAGATAACAGGTATCTGCAATGCGGCTCTGTCCTGCAATGTGGCTCTGTCCTGCAATGTGGTTCTGTCCTGCAATATAGCTCTGTCCAGAAATGTGGCTCTGTCTAGGGTTTGTCTGAACTCATCACATTGAGGTATTGACGTTCTTAATTATATAAAGTTACTATGAATACACCAGACAACAAACATGCCCCTCGGCCGTTAATGAGCTTTATTTGCTGTTCCAACAGCTGCACTGTCCAGTCGTTCATCTGTGTTCTCGTGGTTGCTACACATGACTGATTTATAAAAACAGTTCCAACTATCTCACACTGTGGTTCTCTCTGCAGTTACCTTTCGGACAATACATCTGGATCAGGCTAATATATTGTTCCTTGTACCTGTACACAGTCGAAGCTTGTAGTCAGTAGACATTCATTCCTCATCTTGAACAATTACACATGGTCAGACAGTCCGCATTCTTCTCAGCATTCGACAGCACACATCCACGTCCAAACTTCAACTGACTTCCTATCCTCTCTCGGTTCAAACCTTCCATTCCAGTCTCACGCTTTCCCTGTACCTCTATTCACCCAACACGGGATACTCGAGACATGTTTTTCTCACTTTCCTCTTGTTTTACTGGCCCTCTGACCTTGTCACCCCAATAGGGAACTCTCTGGGATTTCTCAGGGAAATCACTTCAGTACAGTATCCTACAATAATACTGTGTTTACTTTAACCTTATTTTTATGAGATTTGTTGGGAGCATACTCACACATTTGTAACTCTTTTAATATATACACACACACATGCACATATATATATATACATATTATTTAGAGTATGTTTCTGCACCTCGGTCTGTATTTAATCCTACCCTGTATTTTGATGAGCCATGTTTTGCTTCTCTTCAATTTAAAATATAAAACCTCGATGAATCTTCTTCAGTCTTTTACTGAAATTCTTGCAACTCCAATTTTATAAATTGTACTTAAATTCACACCCTGTAGCAAATGTGGCTTCACAGTATACAAATCAATCAAATGTCAAACCAGTGCATAAATTCTACAAAAACAGTAAGACATTTTAACCATGTCTTCCAAGTCATTGGCAATGCTGATCTCCCATGATAACCCATTACATGTTGCAACAACCTTTTGTATTCATCCCGCAGAATCGTCTCATCTCCGATACAAGCTGCTGCATATTCTTTTAATGTGCAAGGAAAACTGAGCTCTGTATCAAGGTCGTAAACCAGTGTGTTTTTACCGTCATGATACACGAATATCACATGGTAGTCCTGAAATTGAGCAAATGTATTGTGTAAATAATTTAGTGACAAAAGTGATAAAATGAAGTTTATAAAAATGACAAGAATATAAAAGTATCTACATTATACATAATAATTCAGACTGCAGAGAAGAGGCAAATAAGTGATATACTTTTCTGTACATTGCTACAGTATTGTTGGGGGGACCAGCTCAATGATGATGGCTGGGTCACAGTCTTGCTCACTGCCAGAAGTAGACATTTCAAAGTCCTCGTCAAGTCTATCGCTGGGTCACAGTCTTGCTCACTGCCAGAAGTAGACATTTCAAAGTCATCGTCAAGTCTATCACTGGGTCACATAGTATTGCTCACTGCCAGAAGTAGACATTTCAAAGTCCTCGTCAAGTCTATCGCTGGGTCACAGTCTTGCTCACTGCCAGAAGTAGACATTTCAAAGTCATCGTCAAGTCTATCGCTGGGTCACATAGTCTTGCTCACTGCCAGAAGTAGACATTTCAAAGTCATCGTCAAGTCTATCACTGGGTCACAGTCTTGCTCACTGCCAGAAGTAGACATTTCAAAGTCATCGTCACTATCGCTGGGTCACAGTCTTGCTCACTGCCAGAAGTAAACATTTCAAAGTCATCGTCAAGTCTATCGCTGGGTCACATAGTATTGCTCACTGCCAGAAGTAGACATTTCAAAGTCATCGTCACTATCGCTGGGTCACAGTCTTGCTCACTGCCAGAAGTAGACATTTCAAAGTCATCGTCAAGTCTATCGCTGGGTCACATAGTATTGCTCACTGCCAGAAGTAGACATTTCAAAGTCATCGTCACTATTGCTGGGTCACATAGTATTGCTCACGGCCAGAAGCAGACATTTCAAAGTCATTGTCAAGTCTATCACTGGGTCACATAGTCTTGCTCACTGCCAGAAGTAGACATTTCAAAGTCATCATCAAGTCTATCGCTGGGTCACATAGTCTTGCTCACTGCCAGAAGTAGACATTTCAAAGTCATCGTCAAGTCTATCGCTGGGTCACATAGTCTTGCTCACTGCCAGAAGTAGACATTTCAAAGTCATCGTCAAGTCTATCGCTGGGTCACATAGTCTTGCTCACTACCAGAAGTAGACATTTCAAAGTCATCGTCAAGTCTATCGCTGGGTCACATAGTCTTGCTCACTGCCAGAAGTAGACATTTCAAAGTCATCATCAAGTCTATCGCTGGGTCACATAGTCTTGCTCACTGCCAGAAGTAGACATTTCAAAGTCATCGTCAAGTCTATCGCTGGGTCACATAGTCTTGCTCACTACCAGAAGTAGACATTTCAAAGTCATCGTGAAGTCTATCGCTGGGTCACATAGTCTTGCTCACTACCAGAAGTAGACATTTCAAAGTCATTGTCACTATCGCTGGGTCACATAGTATTGCTCACTGCCAGAAGTAGACATTTCAAAGTCATCGTCAAGTCTATCGCTGGGTCACATAGTATTGCTCACTGCCAGAAGTAGACATTTCAAAGTCATCGTCACTATCGCTGAGTCACATAGTATTGCTCACTGCCAGAAGTAGACATTTCAAAGTCATCGTCACTATCGCTGGGTCACATAGTATTGCCCACTGCCAGAAGTAGACATTTCAAAGTCATCGTCACTATTGCTGGGTCACATAGTATTGCTCACTACCAGAAGTAGACATTTCAAAGTCATCGTCAAGTCTATCGCTGGGTCACATAGTCTTGCTCACTGCCAGAAGTAGACATTTCAAAGTCATCATCAAGTCTATCGCTGGGTCACATAGTCTTGCTCACTGCCAGATCAAGACATTTCAAAGTCATCGTCAAGTCTATCGCTGGGTCACATAGTCTTGCTCACTGCCAGAAGTAGACATTTCAAAGTCATCATCAAGTCTATCGCTGGGTCACATAGTCTTGCTCACTACCAGAAGTAGACATTTCAAAGTCATCGTCAAGTCTATCGCTGGGTCACATAGTCTTGCTCACTGCCAGAAGTAGACATTTCAAAGTCATCGTCAAGTCTATCGCTGGGTCACATAGTCTTGCTCACTGCCAGAAGTAGACATTTCAAAGTCATCGTCAAGTCTATCGCTGGGTCACATAGTCTTGCTCACTACCAGAAGTAGACATTTCAAAGTCATCGTGAAGTCTATCGCTGGGTCACATAGTCTTGCTCACTACCAGAAGTAGACATTTCAAAGTCATCGTCAAGTCTATCGCTGGGTCACATAGTCTTGCTCACTGCCAGAAGAAGACATTTCAAAGTCATCGTCAAGTCTATCGCTGGGTCACATAGTCTTGCTCACTGCCAGAAGTAGACATTTCAAAGTCATCGTCAAATTTATCGCTGGGTCACATAGTCTTGCTCACTACCAGAAGTAGACATTTCAAAGTCATCGTGAAGTCTATCGCTGGGTCACATAGTCTTGCTCACTACCAGAAGTAGACATTTCAAAGTCATTGTCACTATCGCTGGGTCACATAGTATTGCTCACGGCCAGAAGTAGACATTTCAAAGTCATCGTCAAGTCTATCGCTGGGTCACATAGCATTGCTCACTGCCAGAAGTAGACATTTCAAAGTCATCGTCACTATCGCTGAGTCACATAGTATTGCTCACTGCCAGAAGTAGACATTTCAAAGTCATCGTCACTATCGCTGGGTCACATAGTATTGCCCACTGCCAGAAGTAGACATTTCAAAAGTCATCGTCACTATTGCTGGGTCACATAGTATTGCTCACTACCAGAAGTAGACATTTCAAAGTCATCGTCAAGTCTATCGCTGGGTCACATAGTCTTGCTCACTAATAGAAGTAGACATTTCAAAGTCATCGTCACTATCGCTCCTTCAAAGAAACTCCATTCATTCTTCATCAACTGTAGCTAGTTTTCTTAAATAAAATGTGACTGAGATAAAAAAAAAAAAAAAAAAAACTTCCGGGTACAGACAAAACCAATCACCAACCAACTGTCCAAAGTAAGCAAAGCAACATGATAACGCAATTTGCCATCCTATTAACCTAAACACATGTGACAAAGTGTTTAATCGTATGTAAACGGGTCATTAGGGTCCAAATCTGGCTAATGTGTGTTGCCCTTTGACCCCTGAGAATAAATGTTCTTAGAAGTCTGTAAGCAAAGTCAAAATGTGTTTTGTTGTCACAGCAGGGAGAGCATAGAAACCAGATGATAAGTCATTCAAAGAGGTCTCCAGGCAAGGTCCATGCAGTTCATGTAGAAAGGCCACCACTGGCTCAACTGTTTAGTTCCAGTTTTCCAAAATGATACCCATTTCCAGCAAGCATTACACATGCAATAATCAAGTGCCATGCTGGCACCTCAGCAAATCATCAATGCCTCTCTAGCTAGATACTGAGATCTGTAATTATTGATACTTACAAACCCTTTAAAGCTTGGTTCCTGTATTTGTCTTTTAATCTGATCTCCCTAACGACCATCAGGTTCCATCCCCATATGACTGTTATCTTGGAGCGACTCTCTTCAGACAGTTCCTAACTTGAACATCGGAACCCAGCCCTGCATCTGAGTTTACTTCCCTCCTAAGTTGACCCCGAGTCATTGATAACTGTTGCTGACTAGGTAACCTGGTTACTGACCAATGCTTTTCTCCTCGTTCATTGTTACAAATAATTGGGTCCAAAACTGTAGGCATTGTCTGCAACATTGCCCGTGTTCTCACTGTTTCAAATACATTTTTAACCATTTCTATTTGTGTGTGTGTCCCAGGGATGCTTCTTCATTTTCACTTTTATTTGGCTAATGTCCTCTGGGTAGTTGTATAATCACACACAGCTTCTTCTCTGGGTTCACTGTGAGCTCATCTCCTGTACTCAATTACCTGTGCTTTTTCTGCACTCATACAATAAATAGGAAGCACATCAAGAAAAGAAGAAAGAAGTATAAGTGAGCATCAGCAGCAAGAGAATGGTAACATTTTCTAACAATAATCAGCATTCACCTGAGACTATGACAACAGAGCATTTACCTGAGACTATGACAACAGAGCATTTACCTGAGACTATGACAACAGAGCATTGACCTGAGACTATGACAACAGAGCATTCACCTGAGACTATGACAACAGAGCATTCACCTGAGACTATGACAACAGAGCATTCACCTGAGACTATGACAACAGAGCATTCACCTGAGACTATGACAACAGAGCATTCACCTGAGACTATGACAACAGAGCATTCACCTGAGACTATGACAACAGAGCATTTACCTGAGACTATGACAACAGAGCATTTACCTGAGACTATGACAACAGAGCATTCACCAGAGCATTCACTTGAGACTATGACAACAGAGCATTCACCTGAGACTATGACAACAGAGCATTCACCAAAGACTATGACAACAGAGCATTCACCAAAGACTATGACAACAGAGCATTCACCTGAGACTATGACAACAGAGCATTCACCTAAGACTATGACAACAGAGCATTCACCAAAGACTATGACAACAGAGCATCACCAAGACTATGACAACAGATCATTCACTTGAGACTATGACAACAGAGCATTCACCTGAGACTATGACAACAGAGCATTCACCTGAGACTATGACAACAGAGCATTCACCTGAGACTATGACAACAGAGCATTCACCTGAGACTATGACAACAGAGCATTCACCTGAGACTATGACAACAGAGCATTCACCTGAGACTATGACAACAGAGCATTCACCTGAGACTATGACAACAACAGAGCATTCACCTGAGACTATGACAACAGAGCATTCACCTGAGACTATGACAACAGAGCATTCACCAAAGACTATGACAACAGAGCATTCACCAAAGACTATGACAACAGAGCATTCACCTGAGACTATGACAACAGAGCATTCACCTGAGACTATGACAACAGAGCATTCACCTGAGACTATGACAACAGAGCATTCACCTGAGACTATGACAACAGAGCATTCACCTGAGACTATGACAACAGAGCATTCACCTGAGACTATGACAACA